CACATGTGTTTGCGGTGAAGCCGTTGTACAGCCACGTGATGCATTCTTGCTCATGCCGTAGAAAAAACGAATAACAAAAGCTACCCACTTACATTATAGAAAATTTCCACAGTTTTTCTTGTACTCAGAGCTCTAGTTAATGTGTTTCGACAATCCAGCCAGAGCACTTAGTACTGTAGCAAAAGCGGTTATAAAACTCGAATTCCGCTGATTATTATTGAAGAAATTTCGATGTAAGTCATCCTTAAAAAATTCTCATAAGGTACTGCTTCCTTAGAGCACTCTAGATTTGACTTCGCGCTGGTATTTGGGGCAAAATAGCAACAGTTTGTGTATCCCTAATTTTACTCGGTAGTTTGACCTCCATACTTTGCATGTAGACCAGCTATCTTATCTTACTCTCCTCTTAGCGACACTTAATATTTTCTTTCCCATGCTACTCAAACTTCTCGTCTACGGGCTGAATTATTTTAGTTACTTGCTCACATTCCATTACTCTTAAACAGAATCTGTTGGAACAGATAGTCCATATGTCAATGATGAAAATTGTGATTTGAGCACAAGATTCCAAGACCCGATGTTGCATCATGCACGAATTCGAGGGCGGCCTAGAACATGGGAGAAGGCACTGCTGTTACTAAGGCCCATCAAGTTGCATAAACAGTTAACATTTCGAACTCGCTGCAAAATGGGTTGTCTTTTAAATCACACTACAACGCTTCAACATAGTTCTAACATTGAGTTGCATTCACAATGATAGCATATGGAAAAAGTTGAGACAACTACTTTAACATTTTTGTCTGCAAAAGCCTTGTGAAGGGCCGCTTTTATACGAGAAGTAGTGATGGCTGGTGGGTGGGGAGCTGTTAAGAGGTCTTACTGTTAGTCACTAAACCTGATTGATATTTAAGTCTTTCCGGTTAAGGATCTCCGAGTCTCATCTTCTGTTGAGAGACATTTATTTGGGTCTGGAATTGGAATACTAACTTCAGCAGACCTAGCATAATGACAATGCTTAAGACTAACATTAAAACGACGAAATGCTCGTCGTCTTTATTTTCTGAAGTAGCTTAATATTTATAAGCAAAACAAATAAGCCTTTTCCTTTTCTTAAAGCTATTGCCATAAGGGAGACCATCATCCAAAAGCTAGTCTCAAGGCAGCATTTAGTTTAACCATTTTCGCATAAAATCACTGCATTTATTAAGCAAACGCGCTCGTAACTAGTAAAATTTGAAACCAATTTTGGATCGAATCAAAGAACAGCGTTATTCAACTGGTTAATGCTCAGATAAACTTTCCTTCTGCGTCTGAATTACAGGCCTTTTATGGAGGAAAGTCATTTTCCGCAATTATAAATCCTTAATCCTAGCAGTTAAAATGTTCTTATAAGATTGTAGCCAACATCAACTAAGAGTCACCTTGTTGCTTCGAGGAGGCAGGAGTTATTAAACAAATACCATGCAATCATCCCCAATGCATTGTTTAAAAACTGATCAGTTATTGAAGAAACAAGAGGACTCAACAAACATTTTATTTAGTTGTTTAGTCATTCTTTGTTTCAAAGTTCTCACGAAAATTCATCCACGTCATCAATATCTGTCTCAAACATGTCTTTGCCACTATCATTATGAATACAGGATTCAGAGCCTTTCGTACCATAGGGGTATGCCAAGATTTGTTCATCACTAACAATCACGTCGCAACCACCACCGCTGATGGTTCCGCCGTCATTGTCGGTGGCATCGCTCTTGGTGACATTGAGAGCAGCATCAACGCTTAAGTGCGAGTGACGTGAAAGTGAAACTGGAAGATTTGGATGTCGCATGACGCGGCGACACAACGAACGAAGTGGAAGAGTGAGAGTAGCCACAGATCTGGATTGCGCGCCACTGCTTGTTGTGGGCATCACATGGGAGGAGAGAAGAGTGTGAGGACTCAGAGAACGGGTACTAGTCATCTCTCTATCCATTTTCGTTTCTTCAATCATAGTTGAAGTTGACGATCCGGAGTGGCATTGGTAGCGCTGTTGTGAATGTTGTGAGAGTAATTTTTGATGTGATCGCCTACTGTGTCTGTTGATGAATCGAAGGAGTGGCAAACAGGTAGTAGACTGAGAGTTCCTTGTTGTTGGCGAATGTTTTGTGGGAGAGTT